AGGGACTTGGCGTTAGTGTTCTCAAACTCGCTCGTTACTTGTCAGTCATTCTCAGATTCAATTATACAAATCTTCGCATTTGTTGCAATACACCAAAATTCACTTGGTTTCAGATTACCTGTCAACTTGTCGTAAAAAGATCTCAGCAACTTCATTGTCTTCTGTCACAATGCAGTCTGTGTGGGCACTGCCATCAAGAAAGAAATTATTGTTTTATGTGCAGCTGTGCAGCACTCATATTGACAAGGAAACCAGATGTTGCACAAGATTGAAGATTAAAAAACAAAACATGCCTTCCATGCTGATGTATATGATCAATGGCAGCATGTACATCATCCACAATTTCTACTGTGCATGCTAGAGAACTATATTCATGGTGCAATGAACTGGCCTCTGGAATATTGAGTAGAGAGCTTGCTCGAGGTCCGCCATATACTGTGACACCTGAAAAATGCAGAATCTGTTCACCTCTGTTGTAAGGTCAAGATGCTTCACATGACTATATTAGGTTTTCTGTTCCAACTTCAGCACACATTACCATATTTATGGACACAGCAAGTGGGAACTGTGCAACATATAGCCAACCTACAGGTTAAATATCCTAACAAAAATGGTGCGTAAAAAATCTAGCAATTATTTAACAGATGAGACAACCAGGAAGGAGATAATCATTTGACTGGAAGTCAAAATCGCTTCGTTTCTCAGTCAACCCTACAGCGGACATATAATTCATGTACTCAATTGTGATTAGGGAAGTAATTATCCTCAAACCGACTTAACAGTTGTCTAAGAGCACTGTTCAAATGGAAACTTGATCCCAAAAGTATATTTTAGTTGATAAATGATAATAGGAGTTGAATGGTTCAAATAGAATAGACATTTCGAGAAGTCACTTCTTAATCATACCACCCATTGATAAATAGGGTAAAAGAAGCTGCCGAAGAAGTCAAACCTTTAATTTGAAGCTCCACTATAAGTTCGTTTAGGCTTCCATCCTGTACCAAATCCTTATGAACAAGCAGCGTTTCCTTAGGAATAGAAACAGGGTGATTAAGTCTCTATCAAGTATTATAAAATGTATAAGATTACAAATGATTCAATGATTTCCAGCACACACCATAGCATTGCAGGCAGCAGGGTAATCCGTTTTTGCATCCAGAACAATCTGCTTTGACATATTCCTATCAGCAGACTTATCTACATACACATGACATATTCCATCTGCAAAAGAAAAAGTACTTTCTCTAAAAATATTTGAATGCACATTTTTTAAGATGAAAAACTTAACATGAATATATCTAGCTTAAATAAAGTGAAAGCACGGATTACCAGCATGGCCCAGAACAGGAATTTTTGTTGAAGCCTTAATTTGAGTAACAAGTTTGTTGCTGCCTCTTGGAATCACCAGATCAATTACGTCATCCAGCTTCAAGAGAAACATGAAACTTCAGCTCTAACATGTAAATATAGGGTTTGTAACTATCAGAGAAAACGCATTTAAAATTAATCCACCTTGAGTAATTCAGGTATATCTTCTCTGGACGTCACAAGTCCAATGAGTTGTTCCCCAACACTTTTTGGAATTGCAGAAGTAATTACCTATGGATAAAAAGTAATTAATGTTATAGAAACACACCAAAATCCGATCTACTAAATTACAGATAAGATTAGGTTACAAAATCCAAAAGTTCCAATAATATTTGATTAAACCTTATGCAGGACTGCATTGGACCGTCTAGCTTCTTTTCCACCTTTCAAAAGGAGTCCGTTGCCACTTCGCAGTGCCAATGATGCTATCTATCAAAAGTCAACAATGACCATGAATTCATTGAACATTTACTTAAATGACTTCAATACTTGACAGTTGGTACTTAGCCTCATGGGTCCAATTCCCATAGTAGCTCACAGGTTTCAACTTTAATATGTTATTATGAACAAACAAAAAAAAAAAAAAGATAGGACGGACGCCATCTACCAAATGTTTCTGAAATCACAATGTGTCTTGCTATAGTTGTGTTTACTATCTCACTGCTACCGGGAACACTAGACACAGGTTAAAAACCATTACTTTCTAACCCCTTCCTATATATAAATGCAGAGTTTCCCTAACCTATGTGTCGAATCTGGTACTTCGTAATCCAATATACTATATCAATTTATGGTGGTTCGGAGTAGTCCATATAGATCTAGACTTCTAGTACTTTCGAAACTATAAAACATTTGACTAAATTATTATAAATACTTTAAAGTTAATAATTTTCATAGACAGAATGATATTCTGCTTGAGCATTTGATACATAGATATGAAAAGAAAATGGGAAAACAGAAAAAAGAAAACAAGAATAATGAATAGAACCTATATGAAGAAAAACAGCATAGCAAAGTTGATATAATTTACCTGAACAAGGGCATCAGGTCGGGATTCAAATATGATCAAGAGAACACCCAAGGAAGATGACGTCTTGTCTAATATGAATCCTTCTGAAATCTGCATTAAATTACTTTCAGAACATCGCAGCCAGAATATAGTTGTAACATTTTTAGAGAGTGCAAATGGTACAGGATCATTACGATAAAATAAATCAGGACAATGCAAGTAAGTCATCTGCAAGGCAATCTGATCTCAACTGCAAGTTAGCTCTGCAGCTTTGGACCATATGCAGACAAAATGGAAAAACTAAGAAACAATTTAATCAGAAAGTTTGCAAGCTCTATGTCCATGGGCCCCATAAAACAGCCAAGTTTTTTCACAATTTGAATGATAATCATATGGGCGAACATGAGGCTCAATATGTTGGACAGTCACTATTACACAATTTTCTGTTTCCAGATCGCCTTATTCGACTAATATATTTAGTCATCCTTTTGCAAGAATCTGAAGTGGCGCATTCGAGTTTAGGAGAAGGGGGCGTTGCTTAAATCCTACATTTATCAAATGAATGAGATCTTTTAGCAAGCCCTTTAAAGGAAATAGCTTCTTTCGGTTATATTCTTCTAGATTTCCCATTTGTAGCGGTAGCACCAAGCACATGTGCAAATAGAGATCTGTATACATCATATTCTTACCTCTGTTCTTTTCAGAATTCGACCAACAGGCTCCTCCATGTTAGCAAGCATGCGAATAGCATTTGCAAGACTTTTAATCTGGAAGAGAGAGAGAGAGAGAGAGAGAGAGAGAGAGAGAGAGTTACTTTAGAGAAAGAGAGAGTAATTGACACAGTTTAATAGCACATTTCTGTGGAAAGAACACCTAGTGCCATACCTTACCGGGTTTCAAGGCCAGCCTAGAAACCAAAGATTTTTCATATCCAGCAAGCTGAGCCTCGGCAATATCAGTTTCATTTTCTGCCATTATTAGCTTCTCACTTGCTTCCAATGCATCTGCTACATCTAGCAAAATTTTACTTCTCTCTTGTGAAGGCATAGCCTGAAAGGCAAAATATTGGCATGCTTATTAACTGCACTTGCTCTTTTTAAGCAGAAGCAACTATTATATAGGATTTACTTGCAATCGCCTTGAACTTTCTCTAGCTGCCACTGCCATTTCACGCGCACCAACTTCTCCTTGTGGGACCCATTTATTAGCATCCCGATGGAATAGCGTACCAACACGCTTTCCGTCTAGAACTTTTATGATATTATCAGCAGCAAAACCACTTCATCGAGTGAGGAGCATAAATGAGTAAAATCGACTATATAGGCAGAGGAAAGATACTACAAATATTGACAATGTGCAAACAAAGTAGAGACACCATAAATCCTTGCATTAGATTCTCGAAATGATAAAGTAGAGACACCATAACTCAAGTCTAGCATGATAGGACCAATATATTGAAAAGTCAACCCAATCCAAATTTTATTTCAAGAAGCAAATGATCTCGAAAACTTTCAATGAGTTTGTATATGTACTGGGATCCATATGATCTCTCTGTGTAGGGTAAGTGAAGGTTTCAGCCTATTTAAGCATATGTGTAATGAAGACATTTCCATGTAACAAAAATCTGAAGTGTGCAAGACCAAGATGTCATTAGCTTTCTCACAAGCTCCACTTATTTTACAAAACATTGATTCATACAGAAAATCCTTATACAAATTCGCAATTTTTAATACAAACAATCACGATTAGATTTACGAATTCGTATCACAAAAATCTCGGAGATCAAGTACTGTGCATTCTTTCATGAATTTTCCATTTTTCACTATTATAATTTTAGTGGCAACACCAGCTCAAATATCACTGATATGACTCAATGGAGTCTTGTAATGAATAATCTGTAATTGATGTATTAGTGCTGCACTTATTTCCTGGACAATCAAACTCATTATTATCAAAACGAACTACTTACAGAGGATAAAATTACTACGTATTCCATAGATTAATAGAAAGTTACCAGAAGTGATAGCAAGAGGGATGTGCAGCATACCAAATAACAAGAAGTTTCCGAAGATAAAATAGACAATTTTTACAACAAGGCAGGTTACCTGGTGATAACAACAGGGATGCCAGCATAAGCAGCATAAACAGCAGCTTTTACTTTAGCAGTCATCCCCCCTCTTCCCACCCTAGACTTGTCTCCAAAAGTTATTTCTCTCTCATGCTTTTCTTTAATGTATGTATGAATTAATTCAGAACGGGAATCATTAGGTGGACCACTGTATAGACCATCTACGTCACTTAACAGAACAAGAAGGTCAGCTTTTAGCTCGAGCGCTAGTAGAGCTGATAAACTGTCATTGTCCCAGAATATCCCAGAAGCATCCTACAAAAAGCCCCGTGTTAGTGTTGTGATATAGTTGATCAAGATAAGATTATTAATGGACGAAGAGGCAAAGCAAAGAGATAAAATGGTAAAGATGTTACGATGTGCTTTATCTTCAAGAGAAAAAAAAGAGGGTAGAACATTCAAGTATTCAACTCATGCACATAAATGTTCAGCACAATGAATAACGCTGAAGCAAACAAGGAAAAGGAGTGAAAAATGGAAATGTGAGGGTTATACGTCAGTGTCAATACTTTTGGCAACTTGTTTGAGTACCTACTTGTATATCCATTATGTTGTAATATATCTAATGGAAATGCCAGTATCCAGGATCATACAGGTACTGACCTCATAAGGTGCCTTCCTGGTACTCACTGCATCATTTTCATTGAATATAGGAACAACTTTAAGAGATAACAAAGTTTTAACAGTCTCATTAAGCTGCTTCCTAAAAGCTGGATCTCTGAAGTCATTATCAGTAACTAGAAGTTGAGCAGATGTCACGTCCAACTGCAAAAGAATATGTCAGAAAAAAGGAAATTTAGGGGGAAAAAAAAAAGAAAGAAACTTAGAGCATATGAAAATAAAATAGCATACAGATAACAAGGTTTAGCTCTCACAAAATAGCACAATCAGAGCAAAAAGCACTACTCAAGAACTAAATAAAAAAGCCAACACAATAACAAGAAGGCACTGATCATGTGGTGTTACCTGGCTGAACAAAGTATCATAAAGGGCCATAAGACCATTCTGTCCAACAGCGGCACAAGCCTTGCCATCAAGTTCCAGCTGCGGTTTTTGGAGGTCAACAAAGCTGCAAATCAGAACAACAAAACTTGTAAAAGAACTGAGTATTGTTACTCTAGATTTAAGGTGCTTCCATTATAATGTCTTCTATTAAGAATTAGAAAACTTGGGACATGAAATTGAGCTCCAAGACCAAGATAAATCGGATATTTCAGAAACCAAATTATGTCTTCATACAGAACCATTACGCAATGTGATAAACAGCGATTAACTTCATAAAATATACTTGAAGACAAAAGTTTCCTGTTTTCCCTTTGTTGATCTTAACGGAATAAATAAATGCAAGACAGCAAGGAAATGATAAAGACCTGCTGTTGATCAATTTCCTGTATCTAAGCCGTTGTCGGCCAACACCCACAGCACCTGAAGACACCAAAACAACCTCGTATCCTTGAGAGATCAGTTCAGTAATCTGCATTCGTTAGCAGACAATAGTGTAAGCAATAAAAGATGCTTGTGAACACATTACAATAAGAAATGTTTGTACTATAATCCTTTGAATAACCTGCTCACAGAGAGCTCCTAATCTTCCAAGAGCTAATCTTCCATCAGCTCGAGTGACAACAGCAGTTCCAACCTTAATTAATGTAAATGGATTTTGAATAAAATATTCAATAGTAGTATTTCCAAGTAAAAGCCTCAATGATGGAAAACAAAGTTGAGCACATGAAAAAACAATGAAACTCAAAATTTTATAGTTACATCATAAGGGGCATGTATTTCAACTAAAAATCAGTTGACTTCATTGTAAAATAGTTAAATGAGTTGCCGTAAGGCCCGTAACCATAACAATCACAGAATTAATCAGCTTGGTCCATGAAAAATCAAATTTCAGTAGATATATAATATCGACATAATTAAACAAACTCCTACCGGCAATGGTGAGAAACATCAATCAGTAACGCAATTTGAAAGATTTTTCATAAAAGATTTAATTCTTAGAGTTAATAACACAATAATGTAAATTATAGAACCAGAACTTGGAAAAACAAACACTCAACTCAAGCAACTGAATTAGAATTACTTGAGGGATAGAAAGAAGAACCATGCCTCTGAGTAGGACGACTCTGGAAACTATCAATAAAAGCAGAGTATCATGATTCTCAATCTGAAAAAGGTTTCACTTAATAGACAAGTTTTTAACCTTTGACAACTAAAAATGAGATCCACTCTGCAATTCTAAATTTCCAACATATCTCACCACAATCAACACAAAGTTGAAAATGATCAAATCCAATTCTAGCAGATACTCTTTCCACTCAGACAATAAACTAGAACATTGTAAATATGAGCTTCAGGAGTAATACACGAGTCGGACAGAAGCTCAAGATTTAGACAATGACCTGCAACTTTTGCTATCTAAACTCGATCACACTTCAACCAGATTTTCAGACAATGAGACAAGCTACCAGTGGCAACCATAACTGAACTCAGCCAACGATTA